GAGTTTTCTACAAAGTGGGATAATTTCTGTAACAGGGATCAGGACAGTAAATCTGAAAATGCAAATAAAAGATGAGAAGTTCTGTGTTTATTGACCGAAGTTATAAAGATTTACTTATGTAGTATTTGCAACATGAAAATTATTACAAGTATGTTGATTAGGATGAACAAAAATACTGTTTTTGTTTGTTTATTACATAAAGCACCAGATTATTACACCACATTTTGTAATAATTGCCGAAAAAATGTCATAACGTTATTACATAATGTGTTGAAGACTTTTATTACATTTTGCGTCAATTATTACATAATGTGGTTTTAGCATGAGTTTATTACATTTTGAAGCCTGATTTTATTACATCATTACATTGTACGTTGTTATTACAAAATGAGGTCTTACAGGGTATCAACGTAAAGGTGTTGAATATAAACACACCACACTTCTCAAATCTTCATTTTTCTTCCACTTTTGGTTTGTCACATAAAATCTCAGTAAAATATTTAAAGTTTGTGGTCGTAATGGGACAAAATGTGGAAAATCCAAAGCAGTATGAAAGCACAGTGAAGTGAAAAAGTCACTACATTCCTCTGAGACTGTGAAACTGGTGCACAGTTCCAGTGATGTTAGAGGCTGAGTCAGCTGACCCGTTTTCAGACTCGTCCTCGGCTCCTCTGAGCGACAGATGCTTTAATTATTCAGATTTCTCTCTGACAGCTCCCACTCATCATGCAGAAAAGAGAGCAGTTCTCACCCTTTTCAGCCCCAGGTCATCCATTAGAACGTGGCTCTCATCCTGACAGTGATCCATGTCGTGTACAAAAATATTCTCCAGTGGCTGATCTGCAAGAATCACCAGGCGCACCTGGATGGGGAGAACCAGTATTTATCCTGTGTGGTAGAAAAGGTTGCGCAGACGTAACGACTGCAGCGTACCTTGTGCTCGTACAGGGTATCCACCAGCGTTATGAGGCGCCTGGCCTGTGTCTTCTTGTTCAGCGTCAGCAGAGGAATGTGTCTGATAAAAACTGTGTCAAACAGACGGCACATTTCCAGGTAATCACTGGCCCCTAAAGGCTGAAAGAGACCCAGAACAGAAAAGGTACTTTACATTTTAAAACATTAAGCTCTTTGATTTGGTTTCAATTTTACAAACAAGTAGAAATTTGTCTTTACTAGAAAGTTGTAACATCAGTCGTTAGCGAAATATCTCATAAAGTAGTGGACACATTTTACTAAAATATTTAGAAACTAATCAGTCAATGTACAAATGAAGCTGATTAAGATTTAAGGTCAAAATGGCTGCCAGAGCAAAGCAACTTTATAAAAACACAAATAAATGTAACTGATTTAACTGCATTTGAGCTAAAGAGTGTTGTGGTAGCTGAGAGTCATGAAGAACACACTGAGTAACGACACATCTTACAAGATCCAATGAATGGCTCACATGCATTTGACAAATATAAGATAAATATGGATTTCTTGAAAATGCAT